CCTAAATAGAAAGTATTTTAACTTATTATATAGGTAGTAATAGTAAATTATAGTAATAATATAACGCAAGAGCTTTATAGACTAGATTATTACTAACGCTATGCTATAGTATATAATTAATAGCTAGGTAGCTAGGTAGCTAGGTAGTTAGCTAGAATAACTTAGTAATGTATAATGTTAGTACGCTACAATATATATTAATATAGCATAAAGAAGATAGTATAAAGAAGATAGTATAAAGAAAATAGTATGTAGAAGATAGTATAAAGAAGATAGTATAAAGAAGATAGTATATAGAAGACAGCGTATATTAGCTATAGTAATTACTATTCTCTTAACTTAAGTCTCTCTTAGTTACTATAATATTTAACTAATATTCTATTAAGAAGCTTACTAAGTAATACTAGAAGTCTGTTAAGCTACGTAAGCAGGTATTAACTTAAGAAGAAGACGTAGTTACTTAAGAGCGTAACTACTAATATTAAGTTCTATAAGCTAACTAGTAGTAGGAAATTAAGTAACTCTATAGTAATAACTAGTATAACTAGTAGTAGAAGACAATAACCTTAGTAATAGCTATAATCTTAAGTAGTAGTTTATTTAGAGAATAGTTAGTATAGCTAAAAGAGAATAGAATATTCTCTTTTTCTTAGCAGTAAGGCGTACTTATAGGTTTTAGTAAGTTAAAAAATAGGCTTTTTCTTTCTCTTGTAGTAGATGCTTAGAAAAAAGGTACTTAGCTTTCTACTACTATAAGAATAGGTAGTAAGAGTTATAGAAACTAGAGTAATACAGCTTTTTGCTACTGCAAGAGTAGGTAGTAAGAGTTATAGAAACTAGAGTAATACTAGGCCTAACTTATTAGTAATAGCAGTAAGTAGGTAAGTTCTTATAGGCTCTTAGGTATAGATGCCTATATATTAGAGTTAGATAATAGTTAACACTACTTTACTAGCGTAGTCTTAAGTAGCAGTTTATTTAGAGTATAGTTAGTATAACTAGAAGAAGATAGAATGTCCCTCTCTTTACTAGTAGAAGCTTTCTTCTTAGTGTTAGACTTATTAGCTATAGCTAGAATACTATTAGAAACGTTTAGAAATATATAAATAGCGTTAAAGTAAAGACGTAAGATAATAGCTAGTAGTGTAGCATCTTCTTAGTAATTTTAGGTATAGACAGTAGAACTATAAAAGTATAGTAGTAAGAGTATAGTAGTAAGAGTATAGTAGTAAGAGTATAGTAGTAAGAGTATAGTAGTAAGAGTATAGTAGTAAGAGTATAGTAGTAATAGAGCTTAGAAAGGCTATAGCTAGTAGCTTAGTCTTCTTATCTAGAAAACTAGAGAGTAGAGGCTTATAGTAGTAGAGCTTAGAAAGACTATAGCTAGTAGCTTAGTTTTCTTATCTAGAAAACTAAAGAATTTCTTAGAAGGTATCTTAATAATATAAGTATAAGTAGGTTTAAGAAGAGAGAGAAGAAGAGAGCCTCTAAGATAGTTATGTTTTCTTTCTTAGCCTATATTATAGTATTAAGAAACTCTATATTATTAAATTTATTACTATACTTATTACTATTATCTATTACGCTAGTATTTATAAGCTAGCCTATAGTAGCTTCTCTTCTGTATAAGTACTCTAAGTAAGAGAATAAGAACGTTAGTAATAATCTTAATAGCTAGTATGCGTAGTGTAGGTAGAGTAGCTAGTATAGGTAGTATTAGAAACTTTAGTAAATGCTACGCCTATAGTTATAGTAAGAAGTAGCGTAGTAAGAGTAAAGTAGCTAGCATAGATAGTGTTAGAAACTTTAGTAGATGCTACGCCTATAGTAGTAGTAAGAGGTAAGAGGTAAAGTAGCTAGTATAGGTAGTATTAGAAACTTTAGTAAATACTACGCCTATAGTAGTAGTAAGAGATAAAAGGTAGAGTAGCTAGTATAGACAGTGTTATAGAAACTATAGTGTATTAAACCTAGTTCTTTAGAGCAGCGTAGTAGAGTATACTATTATATTCTAGCTATTATACTACTAGTTATTAGTTTATATAGAGTTAGTTTAGATAATATAGTAGAATTATATTACTATTACTTATGTATAGCAGCTCTTTAGCGCGCTATATAAAAAAAGTTAGTAGGTATATTAGTAGATAGCCTCTACTATTTAGTATAGTACTATATATAGAGCTCTTATTAGTAATATAGACTTCTAGAAGGCTACTATTAAGCCTAAAGAGAGAGTTAGTATACTATAAGATAGTAATATAAGTATAAACTTACCTCTAGCTTAAAAGCTATTAAGTCTAAGTTAGGTTATTTAGTATATATCTAAATATTAGAGAGATATTAATAGAAGTGTTTAGTCTTATAGAATATAAAAAGAAAGTAGTAGTAACTTAGAGGTAAGAGCTACTTAGAGGTAAGAGCTGCTTAGAAGCAGTAGTAGTAACTTTAGAGGTAGAAACTACCTATAAGTAGAAGGCTTAGCTTAGTGTTGCGCGTTAGAGTTCTTAGCTTATTTATATATATATTAGAGAACAACTACTATACTAGCCTTAGTATGTTTTAGAAAAGAGTAGCTTCTACTAGAGCTATACTCTTATATTAATAGAAGTTTTTAATAGTAGCTAAGTAGCAGCACTAGCTTAGAGGTAGTACTACCTATAGCTTCTAGCGCGTAGAAGGCTTAGCTTAGTGCTACTACTACCTATAGAAGGCTTAACTTAGTATATTTTAGAAAAGAGCACTTTCTACTAAAGTTGTACTCTTACATTAATAGAAGTTTCTAATAGTAGCTAGATAGTAGTAGCAGGCTTAGAGGTAATAGTAGGCTTAGAGGTAAAAACTACCTACTAGTTCTAGCGCGTAAAAGGCTTAGCTTAGTGCTGCTGCCTATAGAAGGCTTAGCTTAGTGTATTTTAGAAAAGAGTAGACTGCTCTACTAAAGTTATACTTTTATATTAATAGAAGTTTCTAATAGTAGCTAGGTAGTAGTAGTAGGCTTAGAGGTAAGTAGTAGTAGGTATAGAGGCAACAGCAGGCTTTAGAGTAGAAACTACCTACTAGTTCTAGCGCGTAAAAGGCTTAGCTTAATATTGTTATCTATAGAAGACTTAGCTTAGTATATTTTAGAAAAGAGCACTCTTTACTAGAGCTTATAGAAGGCTTCTTTAAAAGAGGTCTATTAGGTGTTTAGTAGTTTATATTAGAAATATACTCTTATATTAATAAAAGTTTCTAATTACTAACTAGAGAAGAGAAAGCTATAGACTACTTATAACACGCCTCTCTAGCAAAGACTCTTACTACCTTCTTTAGTAGTAGAGACTCTTACTACCCTCTCTAATAGTAGAGACTCTTACTGCCTCTCTAATAGTATAAGCTTTTTCTACCTCTAGTAGAGAATATAATAACTACGCTGCCTCTATTAAGTAGGTAGATAATTACTTTTTTTTATTTAAGCTAGAAGCTATTTAGCCTAAAGTGTTCTAAAAAAGCTATAGTAGTAAAGTATTAAAAGCTAAGTATAGAGAGAAGATATTAGCTTTAAAGTTAGGCGTTAAAGTATTTTAGCAGAACTTTTAGGCAAGTTTAAGGTAGAGAACTATAGTATTAGAGGTTAAACTAGCCTCTAATCTAGTTAAAGTTAAGTAGTTAGCTGTATTATTAAATGTTATTTAGCTAAGTAGTAAAGAACTTAGAGAAGAGCTGCAGCAGTCTTAGAAAAGAGAGTAGTAGTAGTCTTAGAGGTAGAGAGTAGCTTTAGCTCTAGAGAGGAGAGTAGCTCTAACTCTTAGAGAGAAGAAAGATAACTCTAGTTCTAGTTTATCTCTCTTCTACTAAGACTAAGTTTATCTTTCTTCTATTTAGGCTTAGTTTGTCTCTTCTATTTAGGCTTAGTTTATCTACTTTGTTTAGGCTTAGTTTATCTTTCTTCTATAGCTAGTTACTACCTAGAAAGAGAAGAAAAGAGCTGCTGCTACTAAGAGAAGAGACGCTGCTACTACTAAGAGAAGAAGACACTTGTTAGTTCTCTACTTAGGCTAAAGTTATCTATTTTCTTTAATATATATTCTAGAAAGTACTTCTTAACTAGGCCTTTAAGACCTTCTAATAGTACTTAAACTCTTTAATACTAGATTCTTAGTTCTCTTTTTATAAAAACATTAGTCTACTAGCTAGGCCTCTCTAGTAGCTTTACTAAGAGCTTCTCTAGAGGCTTTATAAAGCTTTCTATAGAATAGAGAGAGTTTAGAGCTTATAGTTATAGTATTCTATTTATAAAAAAGGTTAATTAGTCTTAGCTTAAGTCTATAGTAGTAATAAGCGTAGTAATATTATTAGTAGAGAAGCTAAGCTAGATATGCTTTGTAAGGTAGAAAGATAGAGGTACGTTATTACTAGAAGAGAAAGAGAAGGTTTCTACTACTAAAATACTAAGAAGACTTATAGTCTTAGAGAAGAGGCTGTTATTACGTTAAGGCGTGTATAGCCTTCTAGCTAATATATTTCTTCTCTTACTTATTATTATTATTATTATAGACTTTCTAATACTTTCTATTATTAATAGATCTATACTTACTACGTAGAGGCTTATAGCTTTACTAGTCTTCTATAGAGAGCCTATTATTAATAATTCTATATCTACTACGTAGAGGCTTATAGCTTTGCTAGGTCTTCTATAAAAGGCCTCTTATAAAGAGTATTTGCCTCTAGTAGCTTATGCTAAGAGCTCTTTTTTTTTTATAGCTGCGCTAAGCTATTAAAGTAGTATATATAATATGTTGTTATTTAGAATAGCAGCAGCGTATTATAGTTAGAATAGTTTAATATTCTACTAAGGTATCTATACGTATAGTTATTACGTAATATCTATAAACTTCTATCTAATAAGGTTTAAGGTTCTCGCAGCTAATTAGAGTAACTACTTTTTAACTATATATAGCCCTATATACACAAAGCAAAGGTAGATATTAAATATAGCTAAAGCTGTAATAAAGTCCGTTTTAAATGAGTAAGCTGTTATGTAGCTTCAATCCGTCACTCTGCATCCAGGTTCGTAGCTCTTGGTACACAGTGCCAGCTGTGGTGTTCAATGGGTTTCCTTGAAGTTCTGCGCCTCGTTGCGCATTGTACTGCGTTCCGGGAGTGTTGATGACGAGACCGGGGTCGTTGCTTTGCTCAAAGTGGCCATGACCATGGGAGAGGTAGCGGTCAACGAGAGCTTTGAGATCTTGCAAGACTTTGTAACAGTCTCTGGGGTAGTTAGTACCGGTTCGTGACTCCTCCTCGAAGGTGCGCATCGCAAAGTCTATCTCCAGGGTGTACACGGGAGTGTTAAGCGCGGTAGCCGTGGGTGCAGTGCTGGAAGAGTGGAGAATCTGATCTAGTATCAAGATAACAGCAGCGTTGAACACGAAGTGTAGACCGGCTTGCAGCAGCTTCCTTGTAGATCGTAATCGCTTGGCTAAAAGCAAATTTCGCTGGGCGGCCTCTGGACAGGCCTGAACATATTTGCTGTGTGCATGTTGCTGCACAGACCACGAGCCATTCATATAGCGTTCAGCCACGGCTTGCTTGACAGCGGCCAGGAGGATGGGCCGAGTCGTGAGGACGATGAGTTGGTTGTAAGCTAGATGGAGGGACAGTACCGCGGGGTCAGCGTCAACGTCAATAGCTAGCACCGGCGGCAGGTTGAGTTTCCAGTTTTCGAGTTGGTCCAGAGCCTTGTCCACATTCAAGGTCGAGTAGCCACGTTGGTAGTGTCGTGGTGCGATTTTGAATGTCTCGCAGACGATATAGCCAGAGATGCGTGACAACTCTACGTGTGCTCGGAGACCTGCACATGGTGGCATCGAGCTGGGAAGTTTAGCGGAAGCTCTCATATTTACATGTGTAAGATACTTACGGCACATCGCATGGTAGAGGCAGCCTTATAGCTTCATCAAGTAGAGTTGGCGGGCGCCCCATCAGCACAGAAAGCCATCTGTCTAATATGTAAAGAGTCCAGAATGTGCGTTTGCTCGCTTCATCATTGCAAGACCTGAATGCACCATGTATAATGGCAATGTGAATCGCTAAACTAACCTGGAGATTGTAAGTGCGTGTCTTGTATGCAGTGCTTCAGTCTCTCTTACATATACGTATGCTGCATCTCTGCGGTTCAGCTCGATGAGATAGAAACCCATAAGAGTCAATACAGGGACATCGTCCAGCGTGAATCGCACGGTATCTAACGGATTCCCGAGGAGCTTTCGTGCACGCTTGAAGTACGCCTCTCCCGCATGCTGGTCTGAGCGTCGGGAAGACTGATGACCAAAAGACGTAGCTAGGGCGAAGCAGACATGGTAGAAGGCTAAGCCTCGGTGAGTGTCGTCTGTCGTCATTGAACTCAGCAAGACGGAAGGAGCCGCAGACGTAGGGAACTGGGTGAGATCGCCCCACACTGGGTGAAGATTAGTGAAAGCACAGTTAATCATTCCCGCATAGCTTACAGTATATTCCGCCAGACGGAAACTCGCCATTGCCGTCCTGGATGTAGGCTCGCAGTTGGGCAAGCATCAATGCCATGTCGTCCTGATCCGGAAGCCATAACGGGTCCACGCTTGGATTGGGGATTGGTCGCGAGTCGTATGTCTGATAACGTCCAATTGATGCAACAAATGAAGACCCATCCGCCGACTCGGGCTGGAAAGTCAGAGGAACCAGCGTAAGCATGAATTGCTTTAGGTAATCCAGGAACGTCGCTCCAGACGTTTCACCGAAGAATCTCGGGGTGCCACAAGGGTCGACAAGCAGGCGGCCATCGTTCGTGTCGGCTTGATCCAGCTCCATTGAGACGGAAAGAAAAGTCGGCGCGGTCGAACGCGTTCCTGGCCCGCCATGGTCGAGCTGTCCAATGATCTCGGCGGCCTCTCCAGGTGCAGCGATTTTGAACCCTGTCTCGAGTGCTGCACAACGCGCTCGCAAGCGTTCGAGCTCGTCTTTGAGAGAGTGCTTATCTGATTCTGGTGCTGGGTACTCGCATTCGCGTGAGGTTTTGCTGCATCGTTGGCACGGCTGCTCCCCCGAGCACCGAACTCGACGAACGTTGCACGCGTTGCATCTACGCGCCGTACGTCAGTGATGAGCTTTAGACGGGTGTTGCCACGGTGCATGACTTGAGCGATGCGCGTTTTCTTGATGCTGCCGATGAGCCCTGCTGACGTATGCGCTGGCTAATTGCCTGGGCGACATCCTTTGGCACCGTAGTACCAAGAAACCACAACCAGTACCAACGCGAAACATGAGGCTGGGAATTTACTCACGCTCTTACGACGCGCTTTCGTAACGACGGGTCGACCTTGTGCCGTCTTGGATTAACTGGCAGGCGCTGCGGCTGGGGAGAAGAAGATTTGGAGGAAGGTGTGAAGTTGGACTGCATTTCGGACCGAAACGTTCAATTCTGTCGGTAGCACACTTGCTGCCATGGATTGTGTGGGGAGAGATTGTGGGCGAGGAACAGTAGCACCGAAGAAGGGAAGACGCGAAAGATGTTCGGAAGCGTGCAGTTGGCGGCTCCTGGACCCCACGAGCCTAGTTACACGGCACATCACCGTCATTGTTATGTTGAGACTTTGTAAGGACCATGCCACTGGCATTTGCAATGAAGGCGAAGAGGATAAAGTCGAGAATGCGATAAAAGAAAAATGTGCTTCATGTGCCACATGTTGGTTGCACTCACGATCCAATCACACGATCTGGGTATGCCTCCATAGGAACCGGAGGGCGCGATGGCAGGGTGGCCTGATTAGCCTGCGCGAGGCTGCTGCAAGAAGTCATACCACCAACACCACGATACCTCCACCGGTATACACGCTTGACCTCAGAGAGAAGGTATCGGATTGTTGAATCCACATGTTTTACTTTTGGTCGGATGCTGAGAGTCACTCGGTGGGGGAACCTATCAGATCGATGGTATGTTAACATCTCACGCTACGACTACCGATCACGGGAACGAGGCGCGCGCCAATGCGGTACTTGAAAAGAGAAGCTTGATATTAGAGGTTTGTATACCCTCAACGGGTATAGAGATCTTATTAGAATGCTTGGAACGTCGTTTCATGGGACGCCAAACGGTACGGATCGAAGGAAAGCCGTGGGCTAATGCGCGTCAAGAAAAGGAAAGAGGAAACATCTTGCCGCCGAACAGAAACAGGCTCAGGGCCTCGCCACATGTCGCGTGGCTTCATTTCTCCAAATCCACAGCTAATTGCCACCTGCAAGCCGTCCGTATCATGTATTTGGCCTCTTCTTCGCTCATCCAGTTCATTTCTTCACCTCCATTCCACTTGATGCCAACAATCTTTCCGGCACCCTCGCCTTTTGTATCCATTACCACAAACAGTTCTGCGACCTTCATGCCAGTCCAACTCCGATGGAAGTGCACCTTTAGCTTTCCAGCCTGATCGGGACCCTCGCTGTAGATGTACCACTTGTCGTCCATGTCCCGTGGTGCATACCCAAGATATAACGAGTATATTTGTGATGGTGGAAGGAAGACGTTCCACGACGTTATGAGAGGCTTGCCGGGGAATGGCATGGTAGGTAGCGCGCTGGGAAGGATGCGTCGCCGCGGTTCTGGAGAGGGTGGAGGTGTGAATTCGCTCCGGTTGCGTTGATATATTGGCAAGTCGATGCGCTGGATGTGTGTGACCATCTTGGGTTGTTGAGGTTTCGAAGCATCGATAGTTACGATCGGACTCTTCTCTGTGGGTGACGCTGGCGGTGTAAGAAGGCTCAACGGTCGGTGTGATGGGCGGCGTTGTAGCCTTCTCGGCGACTGTGGATTTGACGATTGTAGATGCGGTGATCGTAGGCCCTCGCTCATGAGGAATGGCGACGGAGGAGCATCGCCGCGTTCTCGTCTGGAGAAACGTCGGAATATCGACTTCTTCCTCGAAAGCGGCTGTGGTGATTCGAGTGCCATCATCTTACTATTACCCCTCTATGCGAATCTTTTGATTAAGTCCTGGGTGTGAAACGTGAATCTCCAAAGTAGGTCTAACGGCGAACGAGAGTATAAACGAAAGTAATGGCCGACCAACCTCTTACCAAACAACGGAGTGGGGAAGGGAAAGTGTACCGTGCAAGACAAATACGGTGGTGGTACTCAGCCGCACCCCTCGCGGCGGGCTGAGTCTGGCTTTATTTAGCATGCGCATTCCAACTGCATGCGGACAAGCGGGTATCCCCAGCGCACCCAGATCCACTCCGCCAGCACGGAACTTCAGAACTCCCGCATGGTGTGGGCTGGCAAGCTTGAGAAAAAGGTCGTGGCGTGTGATCAGCCTGGAGATGGCTGGAAAGGAGTTCTGTTGGTGGTCCGGCAATGGCAAGCGTCACTTTGACGCGGGAAGCGCACGGCCTCTGCTGGGAAGCGCCCGAAATAGTGCAGCTTCAATCTTTGGGTCGATGCGCGAATCGAACTTTATCGCCGGCTGTATCCAGACTGGGGGACTCCCCTATTTCCCATGGATATTCTCGTACTTCAGAACTGCGAGAGCAATTGTCGTGTTGCGAGCGCTTCGCATGCGTGTACGCTTTGCCACAAAAAGATCCTTCGTCAACCTGCACGCACGGCGATCGCATCGGCTCCTCAATGCCGAAAAATGCCCACAAACCTACGTTTCATAGATATCACGATCGCACAATCAGAGCAGTCCGCACGACTGGTGTACAATAAAATCCGCCCAGTGAACGGTCTTTGGTTCCACAGTCTTGGGTTTTAGCTACCAACAAGGCCTGACAAAGCCAATCACAATTCCATTGTCCCATCTCACGATCTGTGCTAGGCTGGGCTAACAAAGGGTAGCTCGCGCGCCAATGTAGCTCTACGACGTGATGGATGTGACGGGTGGGGCGATCGTGACCTGTACGAGTTTAGTTGGATCCCACGAGAAATTCAAAGAGCACCAGCGTGGCACAGGGTGTTCGCATCCGATCGAATACCAAGAGCAGGCTACCGGAGAATTGATAGCGCATCTTCTATGTCGGCGTCTACACCCGCTTGATCGCCTGGTAGACATTACGCTGTTTCCCGTTCCCTGGGCTAAAGGGTCATTGAATAATGACGATTGAGTTCGTCATGATGGATCGCCAGAGCTTCAATCTATTGACGAGTTAGCCTCGTTCTCCTTTCCATCAGGAGTCGCTGCATTGAGGAAATGCAGATGACTTTCTTTTGATAGGGTACTCTCCAATGATTAGACCAGAGTCGAACAAGAAACGCCAGAATCTGCATAATGCGGGGTGAACAACTTAGATCAAGGCTACCCTGCGCCTATCGTGTAGACGTGACCGGTAAGACAGCCAGCCACATCGAAGACTAACCGAAGCCACAAGACGGTATACCGTGATCCAGATCATTCGCTGGTAGACTAAGGGACACCTGGAACAACAGACTACACATGCATCAAGCCTCTGAAGACTTCAGCCGCAAAAGATCAGCGCAGTGCATCGCAGAAAACGCTGTCCAAAACAACCTTGGAACGGCCAGCTCTAGAATGCAGCAGTGTTCAATTCCGTTACAACACCAAGAAGGCTATCCAGGACGCCGACAAGATCCAGAGTGCAGCGGTATTCATCCATTACAACACGACTACTTCTATATCGGCCCGACGACCACAAGACTTCAGCTCCTCACTCTTACTCCAGCTTCAGCACCTCGACATCCCCAGTCCCGAAACTAACGTTGTACGGCGCGCAGTACGTACTAGTATTGGAGAATATATCATACTTGGGCCACATGTGGTTCTCACACGCCCACACGCTACAGTCCAAGTCCAAGACAGTCTGGGCGGAAAGACCGTAAACACCCTCGCTGTGGTAATCGTCAGTTTAAAAACTATATCAACTATAAGAAAGGCAGAATACGTACTCCTGACACGTCCAACTCATCTGCACCGTCAAATCATGAATCGTCGCATTCTTCTCATCCCGTTTCGTCGTGTCGAAATTGAACGTCGCACTGTTGGTGTAGCACCAAGGGTCCTCTCTCCCTTCTTCGCCTCCCGCGGGCGCAAAGTTGCATTCGTAGGTTACGGAGGAGGAGAAGAGGGCGTAGGCATTGTAGGATATGGCGCTGCATGAGATGGGTACTTCGATGGCGCTGTTGGTCATGGTGAAGCCGATGACGCCTTCGCGGGGACCTTGCGCGGATGGCGAGACATATAGGACGTAGGAGGAGAATTGGATGTTGGTGAGGGAGAGGGAGGGGAAGGCTGCGGTGGTGTGTGACGTTAGGGAGAGGAGGGGAAGGATGGTGAGGAGGACGGATGGAGTATGCATCATGGCGTTTTGTCTTGAAGGTTCTTTGCGACTTCGTGTAGATTGGATCGCGATGTCAACGAAGGGGTGAGATTGGGGTTATGCCCGCAGGATTATAAGCAACTCCATCTCGCCGTCCACGTTGTGTTGACATCGAATATGGTAATGTGTACTCCGCCAGTCTTAGTAAGAAGGGTGTCGTGCGGGGAATGAGTACTCCCTTCAGAAAGCCACCCGTTGCAAGCAGAAGGCTGTGTTCTCTCGTTGAGGAATGACTTCGCTGTTCGTTATGGTGGTTGTTGCTAGATATAGTCTTCGCACTGGACCTTGCGTTACCTCTGCCTGTGGCTTGAACGTACATGGAGATACATACCTTGAACCGGTATTAGAGGGACGCACGACGAACCAATGTGGCGTGGCAAAGACAAGTAAGGAAAGAATTCCAAGCATACCCAAATCGGAGCCGTCGGTTATGTGATTAGCTGAATCAGGAGAAAGCGAACCGGGCTCGGGGTTTAAGGTCGCACGGCGTACTCCATAATTTACCAACTTCAGAGTATCGCTGTTTGCCGGGCTAGGAAGTAGGAATGTATTGATTAAGCTACACACAATTCCTCTTACTCCTTGTAGGTGATAGTCTTCATCCTCAGGAACTCCTCGATACCCCAATGTCCGTTGAACCTGCCAAAGCCACTTGCCTTTGCACCACCATGCGGCAAGGTCCACTCATCGTGCACCGTCATGGAGTTGATGTGGATAGCTCTGTATCATTATGTTAGCCATCAAATTTCCCCGCTGTGACCATTCACGCCACATCGTGCGTTTTTACTGAACTTACCCGCTTTCAATCTGCTTTGCAACGCGTAGACCGCGACCAAGGTTCTCTGTGAACACAGCGCCCGAAAGACCATAGTCGGTGTCGTTGGCGATCTCAATGGCTTCCTCATCGCTGGAAATCTCGATGACGGAGACGGAAGGACCGAAGGACTCGGTGTGGAAGAGGTCCATGTCCTTGGTTACGCCGTCGACAATGATGGGTCGCAGACGTGTGGCCGAAGCCTCGTTCGTCTCAGGGTGCGTCTCATCTTTCTCGTGGTCGCCGTGTACAACTTTCGCGCCGTTCTTGACCGCATTGGCAACGAGAGTCTTGTTCTTCTCTACACCGGGTGCAGCTACGAGAATGGGGGCAGGCTTGTCGCCGCCAAAGATGCCCTCAACGGCGCCCTTGAAAGCTTCGATGAATTGCGGCTTGACGTTTTTGTGCACCAGAATGCGTTCTGAGCTCATGCAGATCTGGCCTGCATGTAGGAAGGCACCAAGCGCACATTGTACTGCTGCTGTCTGCAAGTTCGCATCGTCAAGGACAATGGCGCTCGCTTTGCCTCCTAGTTCGAGCAGAACGGGCTTGAGGTTCTTGCCAGCTGTCGATGCGATGATGCGACCAACAGCGGTGGAACCGGTGAAGTTGATCTTCTTGATTGCGGGCTCCTCGATCAAGGCCGTGGTGACTTGCGCCGCGTCCTCGGGACGGTGGACAAGGACATTGAGCGCACCAGCGGGAAGACCAGCCTCGGTCAGGGCGCTGCCAATGGCCCACCATGTACGAGGACAGAATTCGCTACCCTTCAGGATGGCGGTGTTACCCGCAGCTAGAGGGTACAGAATCGATCGCATGCCAAGCACATATGGGGCGTTCCTGGTGCTCTCGTCAGTTTTGTCGCATGCGTACATGTATCAACAGGAAAATCCTTACCAAGGCGCAATACCCAGCACAACGCCATAAGGCTCCTTGACGATCAACGCACTGGTGCCCTCCTCTTCGCAGCTGGGAATGTGTCCCATGACCGCGCTCAGCCTGCCCGCTACATCTCTCAGCATATCCGCCATCTTGGGCACATTGAAGCCATTGCTGAAGTTATCCGCAGCACCGGTTTCGATCTTCATGTAGTCTGCGAATTCTTCCGCGCGCGCATCGATCACGTCGGCGGCCTTGAGGAAGATGTTGCGCTTAGCGGAGTGCTTCATCTTGGACCAAGCGGGGAAAGCGCCCTTTGCCGCCGCAACGGCACTCTTGACCTCTTCCAAAGAGGCGGACGAAGAGCTCCATACTTCCTTGTGCGATGAGGGTGATGTCACGGGAAAGGTGGTCTTGGTGGTGACCTCCTTGCCGTTGATGAGGAGGGGTACGACGTAGAACGGATCGGGCTTGACGACTGAGGGGTTAGACATTTTTGCTTTTGACTTTTGGCCTGCCAATTGCTGTTGATGAGTTTGTTGTTGCTTTTTGATGATGATAAGAACGATGTAAAGGAACGACGAAACGGGCCGTAGAAGTACCGAGATGGATTGGAGAAGCTATCTACGTAGTATCCACTTCGCATACCGACCTTTTCTGTCTCAGACCCTGAGCGTGCGCGCATGCGCATGGCAATAACGGCAATTCAGAAGCGCGGGTCAGGGGCGAGTGGGCGGCTTGTGGGGACGGCACGGGTCAGAGGCGAGTAGACGGGCGAAACCGATGCATGGAGGGGTCGAAAACATTGACATGAATTGTCGCATAATGTATTGCTAGATGTAACAGCTCCTTCAGTAGGCCAGTAGGCGGCGGAATAATTCCATGTCGTCTCGGCCACCGAGGCGGGGGCTGGGAACAGCCTGGGACGATCTGCTACCGATGTCGCAAAGCTGCCTGGGTAGTGTGTTGTCGCATCGTACGGAACATCTAGAGGACCTTCATGTGAGGCCTAATTTAGCTCAGGTTGCCTCGTGTAGATGCACAGCAGACGCAAGTTGTTACACTCAGGGCGAGGAAGGGGCCATGATGACGTCAGTGCTCAAGATCGGCGGGGTAGTGATAAATCTTTCCGTCGCGAATCTCTGTGTACTCCTCGACCCGGACCAAATCCATTGGCAGCCATTCAAGCTGACGCTCGATGACTGAAGAAGCTACCAGCGGGCGATGTCTGTCCGCTTGCTTCCAGGATTCGCTACCGTTTGTTGTATCCTGTCCTAGTCGAAGCACGAACTTAGGCGCTCCCGATAGACACCACAAATCCGTGAACTCCTCCATAGTCTCGACTTCTGTTCGCAACTTGGCAGCGCAAGCTTGCCAATGAAGCAAGCAAGCGATCGTACGACTCTCGAGTACCTCAATGATCTGACCGCATGTGACACCGTCGTTGTTGGATATTTTCTCAATTTGTTGGACGCCGTCATATGTAGCCTCGTGACTACAATCAACCGGATCTCCGCTGGGGTAAGTCTTCCATCCATCGAAACACCAGTACGGCACTTGGACGGACACATCCACTACCTTACACGGGGGCTGTGATAGCTGCATTGACCAAACTACGTCTCGTAGAGCCGGAGGCTTCGCGCACGGAAACAACAAATTATCCACATGACTTTGCGGCCTGAGCTTGATTTCCAGTGTACCTCTATCGGTCAACACGATGCCTTGAAACACAGCTGAAAGATAAGGGTTGATTCTCAGCTGAGTGAATTCATGCCAGCCTTGTACGCCGGCAGCACAAGTGTGGTTACGAAGCATGGAGCAGGCTCTTAGTTCGTTGTATGAATCGACCGTAGAGCGGGGAAGTAGGGTTGAGCATGTTATTCGGGTTGGAAATATGGGCACACGGATTCCTTTGTTAAGGGCGCCTGTACCCGGACGTCGCCGTATAGTTGCGAGAGATAAGGCAACATCGCGTTGAAGGTTTTGCATCTCTTCAATGGTTGGATTCCGACCAGCGAGGGCAAACTCAGTAGGCCTGGCTTGCCACTCTTCTACGGCACCGTAGGGACGAGTGCCCTGAAATGAATCTGGGCCTTGGGATCTGGCAATGACACCAGCAGCGGTTTGCCTCCAGGCGAAAGAAGTGTTCCATGCCGAACGAATCTGAGTGGCAGGATCCGCAAAACGTAGGATGTTCTCAACGAGCTCGGGGATATGACCGACCCACTCAGCAGCTACAACAACTCGCTGCACAGGGTCACTAAGCTGTTGATCTTGGGCACCACTGGTGGCTCCGGCTATCCGCCCAGCTCTTTCCACGAAGAGAAGTCCGTACAAGGTTGCGGGGATCTTGCGAAAGAAAGCAGCCAGGGCTCTGAGAAGGCGATCGAATGAAGTGCGTATGGGATGCCGGATCCGTGGGTATAGATCAACCCGCTTGTCGATCATGGCGAGTATCGAAGTTTTCCATTGCTCCAGCTCTTCTCCTTTGGGTGCTGCGTGCGCGTATTTGACTGGCGGCCCAGGGTCGCCTTCGGCGGAAGACATCTTTCGTTGCGATAGGACGAGGAAGAGAGTGTACAATATCTGCAGCTATTGCGGAAGAGGCTGCGATGATATTGTTTTATGTCATTGTGTTAGTGGCGACGTTGCGAAGTTTGCGCTTGAGATGTGGCCTGCGCAAAGCTGCTGCCTTGGGTGAGGACACATTTTGGTACCGACCGGCATCGGCCATCACAATTTGGAACCCGCTGAAAAATTGGTTGTGCAATGCGTTACATTTTTTTAGGCATTTGTATAATCATAGGCCTTCTGAGTCTGCAGCTGTCCATGTAGACAAGCCAGAATGACTCTCAGAAAAGGCCGGTATCGTGAAATCGTGAGCAATACTAGTACATCATTCCTCGTCGCTGTACAGATCAACCTCATCTGAGGATTGCGACGAGTCTGTCTCATCACCATCCCAGTCCTCGAAGACATCGTCATCAGTGTCTCCAGGTTCTACCACGAAGCTGATGCCTGTTTCAGTCGAATAGAGCTTCACAAGAGGCTCCCAATCATATGTGAACCATGTTGCAGCCTCTGGAGCAACCGCCCGAACCTCTTCCAAATCAGGTACATGTTCCCGATAAGAGGTTACCACGTCTCTCAGGGCCTCCAGGCACTGTTGGTCCTCGGTGTGATTCCGGACTGGCGTTCGAAACGTCAGCAGCGAGGATGGCAATCGTTTAACAAAGTTGTCGGTATCGTGGTTCAAAAGCATGCCTAGTGGACAGCTGAGATGTTTTAGCGAAGCAAAGTCTTTGAGGTTGTCACGGAGATGGACGCTGCGCTTTGTATCATCCTCGGTGATTGGATCGCAACAAACCCAAAGAGTCTCAAGTGATGCCTTCTGGCAGAGTAAGACTTCAGACAGCGTTTTGTACCGCTGTCCGTTTTGCGGTGGCCGCTCTGCCAGGTGAAGTTCAGACTCGGTCTCGTACTTGATGCTCTTCAAGCACCGCGACGAGGAGACCAATACTTCCAGCAACGACGGTGTGTAGTAAGTGCTCTCCAGATCGAGCTCCTCTAGATCGTTGCACGCTTTTGGGATCAGACGTTGTAATCTGTGTACGCCTTCTGCATCATCTTGGCGATATCCATAAAGGTAAGTTTGGCACAAATGCAGCTTTCGCAACGATTGTAGCCGGAAAAGAGGTGCGACCTCGCTCAAACCTAACGAACCTGCCTCAACGCTGATCGATTGTAGCTTTTCGAAGCGGTGGGCTTGTGAAGAGAGATGACCTGTCGCGGCCCTGCTAATGAGATCGATCCAGGAAGGATATCGCAAGTTCTCCTTTGCGATTCCTCGAACGCCGAGATGTTTAATCTTTGGTGCATGCAACAATATCGCGTTTTGTAGCGCGTGCTTCTGTGGCGCGTAGTCATTGAGGTGAGTTCCGTTGCACCTGGCTGCCCACTCTTTCCAGTCCGATGTACCAAGCGCACGCAATCCCTCCTTGATGGATTTCTTGTCGCTCGCTGTCGCATGGTAGCGCTGATTACTGTACGTGCCGAGTTGGATCTCCACATTGTGGACATATTTTGTGAGCCGCGGAGCCTCTATCATGGTACGGAGGAAAAGGTAGGGCTCGCAGAAATGGCTATCGTATTTAGAGTAGATCTTGTCGATGACAACGTTATAGAAACGCCGACTAGTCAATGCCAGACTGAGGAGCGTAGGAAGCTGGAAGTCTTCAATGTCCATGCCGGGAAAGTAGTTGATTATCTGCAAGATAAGCTCAGTGGGGAGATCACTCAATGTCGGAAGCGGTTTGGTTGTAGGTGGTTCTGCGGCATCGGTTTCGACTACACGCTCAGCGGCGCGTCGGCGCGTTGCATTTGGTGATGGAAGTGGAGGGAAGTCGCGCTCGTTGACGATCGCCATTGTGCGGCAGCTGTCGCATATGGGTAAGCAATCGGGTAGATATTGCAGCTGTCTGGGTGGAGTTGAGGGAACCGGACTGACACAAAAATGAGCGGAGGGAAATTTCCCGGTCAGTTGAAGTGAGTCGGCTCGTGGTCCGCTGTTGGTCCTTCAGGGCTATCTCCATAGGGCTGAACGCTAGGCGTGCTGAATCAGCCAGCTGCAGCGCTCCGGCGGTGGCCGCCCTTTGCCTCTTCATTGACGGCCGACACATTTGAGGCATCGCTGAAGCACAACGCCACCCGTCACATCTGTTTTGCCTGCGCACCCTTCCCGTCATGGAGCGCCTTTCAGAAGAACTACTCGATCATGTAGTGTCCGAAGTCGTCAATCCCCTGCCGAACAGGCATACATCAAACTATGACGATCTCCTCAACCTATCGCTGGTTTCACGCAAGTTTTGTCGCATCACAGAGCCGTATATCTATCGTTCTTTGATCCTTTCAAGAGATAACGGGGACGACTTATTGCAGACCTTTCAAAACCGACCTGATTTGTTGCTATACGTTCGGGCCGTCTACGCGATGCGGTATGATGACCTTGGTAATCGGTTACGGAACTTCATCTTGAATGTACCCAACCTGCAAGAGTTGGATTTGAACATTGTGTCTGGCACGCTATCCGAGATCATACCAGTTTTGAAGTTGCAAACCTTGAAGACATTACGCCTCTCGGGTGTTACCGCTGGCGAGATTCCCGACGAACATTTCGACGACTGGGAATTCGAAAACAACACGCTTGATACTTTGGATATCTCCTTCACTGATCATACGCTCCAATGGGGGCTTGGTGACGAAGAAATACAGGTCTTTGCGGCAGTGTTTCTCAACTTGAGACGTTTAAAATTGCATAGCAATTACGAAGGCAGCATACGCGATGTATTGGATGGCACCGCTTTCCGCTACCTGATCCGCGCTTTCAAGCACAGCTTCGAGACAACTCTTCGCGAACTCACTTTTGAATATAATCATCCGAACGACGGCTTCATAATCGAAGAGGATGAGGCCGTGAGCGGGCATGTTGATGTAAGGGACATAATCAAGGATTCGCGGCTCGAGAAGCTCAGATTGGACACAATCTGTTTGCATAAACCCATGCAAGAAGCGAAACTACGGAGTCTCGCACTCGGTCCCTCATGTCTACCTACATCGCTACGCACACTTTATCTTCGCCACATCGTTGCGACGGGAAACCTCAATCCCTACGAGAGGAACCTCATGCACTCGGACGAAGCGCAGTGTCTATCGCAACTCGTCAACCTGGGAGCGCGAAGATCGCGCTTTCCGCATCTGCAGAACATAACACTAGCAATCTGTCTACCTCCGTTCTTCGAGGACGTAGCCTCGAGGGTCGTCAAGGTTCAAGCGCGGAAAGTCAAAGTGCAGCTGGATTTGATATTCATGTAAGTTTGTGTGTTGGCTATTGCGACGGGCATCACTAACGGAGATTAGGTCGGAGTGGGACTACGTCAGCGGTGACCTGGCAAGAGCTTGGCCTGAGTATGATCGTGCTCGAGACCCTCGAGACCCATCATATGACCATACGCTCATCCGGTACGCGTAGGCCTGCTGCTCAGTCCACGCTGCGGCTACCAGTAGCTAGACAGCTTCATGGGCTGGCGGGGAGATCTGTAGGTTCATAACCGATAAACGCGGCATCATGTCTTCTGTCTACTAAGCCAACGCAAGGCTTCTCAATTACCATCCGCAGTGGGAGACCTGAAGTCAGCAGTGAACGCTGCCCGAGATGCAGTGCCCCAAGATCGCCACCGGTTTTGGTGGAGGGAGATCGACACATCCGAGCGCACTCCTCCGATTGGCTGTTTGTACGAGGTTACGAATCCCTTCAGCCACCTTCCGCGCCAACATCGCGAAACCGCAGCAATGCCTCGCAAGATGTGCTGTAATTGTCGGTGAATACAGTTTGCGAATACGCGTACAGCAAAATGAATCTAATCGGGCCACTAATGTATAAAACCACCATGGACGCGATGCCATGCTTGCCACTTACAAAACACCATTACAATCAGCGCACTTGAACATCGTGCACTTCCAACATAGCAGCATTTCTATCAATCGATAATCACCATCACGACTTACCAATATGTTGTGCCGAGCACTCACTCCCTACCCCAAAAAGCGCGTCCAAAACGCCCAACCAGAAGCTTCAGCGTTTGCGGAATCACAAGCCATGGTCACAAAACCAGAAGCGGCTGTTATACAACCAGAAGCGGCTGTTATACAACCAGAAACTCCCGCCACAAGACCCCAAAAATCGTCGAAATCCAAGGAGCCAAACCAACAACGGCCTGTCGGCGGGCCTCTCAGAACAGGCCTCGAAAAGCTCACGCGCAGCGTAGAAAGAGGGGTCGACCGACAAATCTTGGGCGCACAGGTGCGGGCTTACGGCATGCCACCATCAACTTCGTCCTCGAAACAAACAACAAATATCGGTTCTATCCAGGAGAAACATGTCGCATTCGCTGTTTGATGCGCTCCGACAAATTCACTGCTGCGTTAGCGAGGAGGGCGACACCGCAACCCATGGTCGCAATCGTTGGACAATCAGGATTTCCGGGGATGGATCTATCATGAGGTGTTTTTACGCAGGGAGCGCGGCGTTATTGCATGAGCGTTGATTTTGATTGACAGGTCTAGACTGGAAGAAACACACATTTTCTACGATTGAACGGCATTGGTGCATACCACGAGGCATGTTTTGGTTTATGATACGCTACGCTCAAAGGCGTTTGCATTGCATCAGCGTACTCTTGGAATTCATCTCATTATAAATCATACATATCACATATATATCCCATCCTTGTGTTCATCTGCCCCTCGCTAACACACAACATCGTTGATGTCGAGCCTTACGACCTTGGAAGCTTTGGTGTGGCAGGACGCCCGCCGTCCGCCTGCCCGCGCGCTGCACTTCCCAACCTCACAACCACAACCTTTGGGATGTCGCAACAGCAGCCACCCAACCACTGTATCATGGAGCCAAAGTTGTCAGTTACTAGCGCAAAGCTCAAAGTAACTCATGGTCTTTAGCAATGGCCTTTTCTCGCCATCGTGCAGTAAGGTTCCCGCCCCAGTCTGCTCCGCCTTTGCCAGCCCCTGATAGATGTTTTGCGGTACGCCGTAATGCAACAAATAGAGTCGCCGAGTGTGTAGTATGCAGGTAACACTGCATGTTCGCCGAGATCTTTCGGCCAACAGAACACGGTAGATGATAGTTCGCATGGTCTAGATCTGCAGAACCCCACTCCGTTCAACGCTGTCTAACTCCACCCCATCTTTCCCAACTCAACAACACGATCAGTCCATCCACTCGCCGAGACGTTGTCGTTGATGGCAATATAGTGTTATCTTTTGCTCGAACTTCCATCAAGCGAAACAACTTCGCTCAGATCACCAGCATCGGTGGTTTAGTGGTAAAATTAGCCGTTGCCATCCATCACAGGACAGTTTCGGCTAGCCCCGGGTTCGATTCCCGGCCGATGCATTCTTTTTGCCGTTGTGCACGTCGTTGTGGTGGTTGTAGAGCTTTGGGGAGGGTGGTGGTTGAGTTTGGGGAGGGTTGGGACACTTTGGACATATGCGTCTGTGCACACGTCCTGCCATCCCTATGGACATATCAAGACTTGTTCGATGTCTGACCAATGCATTGAACTACGCCACATTCTTTTTGGAGTTGGTAGAGCATTGGGTTGGGGCTGCTTGAGTATAGGGACATGGACATGGCGGACTTGGAGGCTCTTCCGCGCGTATCGTTTTTGTTAAGTTCACGAACACTACACAACGGGGAAGCGATTACAGAGATGCATTAGCAAAGTTGGAACTGGCAGCATAGCACAATACGTGTATGCTTTGACCCTTTTGTCTCGCTGTTAGACTGGGAAATGAGGAGTGCAAAATGAATCACTAGGTCTATATAACCGGATTTTCGACTGAGCTATATACTTCGGCGAGATTATCATGAGCATATCGATGCGATATAGCATTGAGACAGGCAGGTACATGGCGATCTGTAAGCTTCCTAGGTTGTCCCGCTCGCTGAGTGAACGCAGGTAGATGAAGGTCGCCGCATTCCATCGTTCGCCCGCAATTCCGCCACGTGAAAAGACCATCTGCTTGCATCAACTGATGCAAACAAATTGTCGAATTCGCAAAGGCGAGGTTCTACTTGTGACAGTGATGGTCGCCCATGAGGGACACTGCACATGTGCTCAGTTGATAGAGACCCGCGCTAACCCACATTCGACGCTAGCGCCACACCACCAGTGCTAAGCGACACTCGAAATTCAGCGAGCCGCAACATTGACGCCGACGACATCGACCACCACCGCAGCCACACAACCCAACCCGACTCCCACCCACACATCAATCAAAATGGAGAACGAACGCGGAGAGCTCGTCGACCTTTACGTCCCCCGCAAAGTAAGCCAAGCCCATGTCACGTAGTAACGAATGTCTGCTAACACACCACAGTGCGTAAGTTACCGACCACCACCTACCTGACCCGAAACGCGATACTAATACCTCCAAGTCGGCCACCGGACGCATCATCAGGGCCAAGGACCACGCCTCTGTCCAGCTCAGCGTTGGCAAGGTTGACGAGAACGGCCGCTACACCGGCGACAACCAGGCCTACGCCATCTGCGGTTTCGTCCGCGCTATGGGCGAGGCCGACGACAGCTTCAACAGGCTCGCACAGAAGGACGGCTTCCTCAAGTCTGTCTGGAGCGCAAGCCGGTAAAGGGTTGGGGATATGGAGTTGAGGTATGCACACGATACCATGTCGGGTGGCTGGACGGAGCTGACTGGGAACAGGAATTCGGGATCTGAATAGCCCCTCGAGGGCGCAGGCATGCATTTCACGGCGACTTAGGCCTTCATTTCCTTTCTCCCGCGGATCAACGATATCACGAGGAATGGAACCGGTTGAGACATGAATACCAT